GGTGTCACACACAGCAATGCTCAACCGAGTCGCCATTAACCACGTGACTGGTGTACAAGTCCGGTTAATCAATCGCCCTGCCAGTCACCTACAGGCCCGACTCAGTTATCGCATGCTGGTTTACACACGTGCATTGATGTACTGCACAGCACATAAGGACTTTCACAAAACCACACTTTACTCCCTTGCTGCACGAGGAAATAATTAAAAGAGTGGTCCATTCCTAATGTGCCACATTGATATAATGCGAGTTCAGTTGCAACAGCATGGCGTACATGGGGGGGGGGGGGGTTGTCCTTCTGTTACAGAGTGCAATTTTTCGAGTTCTGGCAACATGCTGTGGTCAGCCTAATCACCTATCGCAGTGGTTTGAAAGTCAGGACTCCTGAAGCCAACAATAAATATTTCCTTGTGCACAAGGTGTGGGTCTCGAGTGCAAAGTTCACCAAAAAGTGCGTGTGCCTTGGGTGATTTAAACATTGTGACTTGCGACAACTTCACATCTTTACCGAGGGAAGATTAACTTGGTCTCAAATGCATTTCTTTTGTTGAGAGCCCTGCTTGGGACGTTCAAACCAGTATTGTGCTGTTGAGGTTTTTTTTAGTCTGTGCGAGGAAATCAGGAGGTACAGAGAAGACGCAAGCACACACGTGGGAGATAACGCACACACGTTCTGCAAAACCCTTTAACTTTCTACCTGTGCTGCCCCCTATAGTCACCTTTTTAAAACACACAAACACCCAATGAGATACATTGTATTCATGAAAACTTTAAAACTGTAAAAACCAAAACATTAGAGTTATATTATAACTGCTGTATATTGAACATACAAGTCGCATCATGAAAGTAAAAAAAAAAACACGAATGTAAATTTACGTATCACATTTAAAAGTGTACGAGCTTACGTGAAATTTCAATAACACCCATTACTGAAGCGTGGCAAATCCTTCAGACGGACACGTGTGCGTGGTGGAGGCAATACACGTACCGTGTACAAACCAACGTGATCAAGTTGTACACCTGCGAGATTGTGGATAGCTCGATTCCGAATGACACTCATCCTGCGGGTGAAATATTCTGGCGCGTATTATTGAGGCACAACGAAGAGTAGGGTGGATAGTTTGGCATCGGCTGAGTGACAGGAAAAGATGCCACTCCTTTAAACAGGTAAATCAGTATAGTACCACACACACACTACTGCTGCTGCTTGGGAAACAGATCATTCGTGCGGCTATCACTGCACGTATGGTGTGACCGCGTGTGTGTGTGTCTTGCTGTAGTCGTGCAAAACTTGAGATCACATCTGATAGGTATCAATACATTTTTCAGGAATGACTGTCCCTACAATTACTCATTAAATCACTGGTTCATGCACAGCCCATCACCAAGCTAGGTCCATCCGCTCACCAGGTGTCATTCAGCGGTCAGCGCTACGCTGCGACACGAAGCTGGCGACCAGAGTTCGATTCCCGCTCACGGCCAACACAAGTGACGATTATCTGAACCATGTTCTGGGCCTCCCCGAGGTCGACTCGGCCTCAAATGTGTACCTGGTGCGGTGTGTAAACATCGCCGCTGGTGGTGGAGAAAAGGGCGGTTGGTCGAGCGTGGTTCTGGCCACCCACTCCCTCGTGTACCGTCATTAGGTGCTCGCTAACAGCACTTGCCCCAACATTCTGTGCAGGCTATACGGGGATGGAGGTGGGGATCTTTGTCTTTGTTATCTTTACGGCGGCCAAGCATCAAACAAAACAACTGCCACGCAAACCCTTTCACCACAATGAATACAGTATCTTCACTTCCTGGCCATGTGTGTGTGTACACAACGCATACAATATAAAACGAACACGTACATGCACGCACATAAATCAAAGAGACACAGACACGCCCGCGGTATAGCCCTTGCACAAAGACTGTTGGGGCAAGTGCTGTTCGCGAACACCTACGAAGGCCGGCACGGCACAACAACGAGGTGGTTGGTCAACAGCACGCCCGGCCGAATTTGTCTCCCAAGTGCTGGTGTTTACACACCATCCTTGCAGACACACACACGCACGTTTTCATGTTAGTGTGATATATGTCGATACACATAATGCATCCTTACATTACACACAGACACGTAACGCAATTCCCATTACAGATGCGATACATGCTGATGAAACTCCTGTGTCATGCAGTTGGTAGTTTTGTACCGTTTCAAAACAGTAACACACGTGCTTGTACAGCAGTGGCGGTGCTGCTGTTGTGCCACCGAGCTATGCGTGGCTAGATATCTGGCACGTAGAGCGATTCACTGGGACGTTCAATGTAGCTAGATATCTGGCACGTAGAGCGATTCACTGGGACGTTCAATGTGGCTAGATATCTGGCACGTAGAGCGATTCACTGGGACGTTCAATGTAGCTAGATATCTGGCACGTAGAGCGATTCACTGGGACGTTCAATGTAGTGAGGCTCATTCGCCCAGTGTCCAGGGCGAATGACTCATTATTCATCCACTACCATGCCGCGCAAGACTCGATCATTTAAACCTTCGCTGCATTAGATACATAAAAACAACTGCCACCGGAGTTTATACATTCACAAGTCCGGCCTGGGTCATTAACAACCCTGGCATTATGGGTCGCTTGTTCGTTTCACGAATTGGTTCTCCATAAAACACGAATAATTATTTTCCACTGGGTTCATGCCTTCAAACCCCAACACCAGGCCAGTTCATATTTCCTCTAATGTACATGTGGTCGGTTTCAATAAATTGTCATGAATTGTTTTCCAAAGAATTACTCATTAAACCACTGGTTCATGCACAATCCAGCACCAAACTAGGTCCATCCGCTGACCAGGTAAGTCTCGGTAAGTCTCATTCATTCAAAGTCTGGCACAAAACAGAAAACCTAGGTTTCATGAACTCGGATCCTGGCTACAAGCAGGTCTTATTCATTCAACAGGACAGGGTTAAATAATTTGCAACCCAGAAAAAAATTAATCAGTCTGTCTGGAGCTGGTATGTCTCGGCCACATTCTCCAGGGCTGACTGGATGCTCCGAAGTTCGACTTGGCTATTATTACTCATTATCATATTTTGTTACTGGCAAATGAGGTTTCCAATGGTATAAATGCTTACCCCGAGCTCTCACACTCTGATGGTGCATTGCCTTTGAGTTGTGCGCCTTTTGGCGTCTTCTGGTCCAACACCATGTGAGACGAGGCTCTAAAGAAAGCTGTCTCGGGTGTGGACCAATCAATTTCAAGGACAGTGCATACATTATCAGAGTTGTTGTTTTTTGTTTGCGTTCCGACCGCAGGTATTGTGGTCAATGTAAACATGACTCCTTGTAAAAAAGGTGTCAGTTTTGTTGCCAGATAAAAGGGTAAAAAAAACAATTATCATATTTTGTTACTGGCAAATGAGGTTTCCAATGGTGTAAATGCTTACCCCGAGCACTCATGCTTGTTTGAAGGTCTGCTGGATCGCTGCTCTTATTCTACGATTCCTTTATTCTATGCGAGCTTGAAACAGCAAGCAGTGGCAACTGGCAACCTGAACCTGGCTAGAGCGTCCCCGAAGGTCGATCCCGTCACAACGGTGTCTGCTACACAATACCAGGACGCACTTTACAATTGAACGCGTTACTTTGGAACAATTTACGCATTTCTAAATCAATCAGACGTTAGAGTACTGCAAATCCATCCTCAAACGGAGCAGTCGAGCGCAGCGCTCATCTCCATTGCTAGCAATTCCACATTTCCATGACGGGATTCAGTCTGTACACACGACCCCCGTTTCAGTGTCCAGCATAAAGATAAACAGGGCGGACCAAAAATAAGGATACATCGGGTTATTTAATTTATTTCAACAAATCACAAGGGTTATTTAATTTATCTCAAATGTACAAACTGACTTGCATTAACATTAATGCATGCACGAATTCTTTTGAAATTAATTTCAGGACTTTCTTTAAAGATTGCAGGTGTAATATTTCAACATGCATCAATTACGTTTCGACTTAATTCATTCACTGCGTTGTTCGTCGAGTTTCGTAAACAATGGATTAGAGGTCACCTGGCAGAAAGAATAATAGATCAAATACTGTATTCACTTAAATAATAAAAAATGAAATGTTTGAATGGAAGTGTTACTTTTATTTAAATATTCATATGCGTCGTGACTTTTTGGCTACCCTGCATATTACAGCAGTTTTAATATCCAGGTAAGCTCGAAATTTGTGATTCGCCTGTGGGAATGTGTCACTACGCAGTGTAAATTATACTTAAAACGTTTCATAAGACCGAATTTCATTTTCACAAACTATATCGTGCAACTGGTATTGCGCGTTGTGCACATGGACAGAGTTCGTGTATTTTACAACATCACGTGGATTGCTACATCCCCTAATTACAACCGCATCAGATGAAGCCATAGTAATATCAACTTCTGTACAGTACTTTTATCACATACACACCCAGTTTAAAATAGAACATCGCAGTCAGCTTAAGGCTGAGGATGCAGCACTCAACTTCATTTGTCCAGTGAATCGACTGAAGAGGAAACTCGGCAGACTGGTCTGCAGTCTGGGCAAACCACTGCCCAGGGGCACCCCAACGCCCCCCACACACATACCTCTCACTCCAAAACACTCCCCGTGCCCCCCCACCCCCCCCCCCCCCCCAATTCTTCGTGACCCCTAACTCCTGCACACCCCGCCACCACCACAAGTGTCCCTCGGTCGCTTGCAACACTGCCCGCGCACTTTGCCCATCTCATCCCTCCAGCACCAACACCCCCCCCCCATCACATCACTCGTGTGCATCCGCCTCCTTCACCATTCCACGTGGCTTTCTCGTGCACCTGCCACTCCCACTGCTCCACAACTCGGCTCCCTCCCTGCTCGCTTCCCCATCTCACCCCCCCCCCCCACCGTGCACCTGTCCCCCCCAAATACCACCCTCCCCCCCCCCCCCAGGGTGTCCACCTTCTCCACCCCCGCCCAGCACTCACCTGTCATCGTAGCAGAAGTCAGCGCCCAGCGTGTTCGCGTAAACTCCCGCGGCCAGCAGCGAGCACAGAGCCTCCCCGAGTCCTCCCGGCACGCCGTCTCTCGCCTCCATCAGCATCATCCGCAAGCTCGTCCTCATGGCCACCCGCATCAGCTGCCAACACAGCAACCTCCCTCCCTCACCTCCTTGAGTAAATCCCAGCGGCAAGCGAGCGGCACATTCAAGCGCCTGTGTGCGGGCTGGATGCGCAGCGGTCTCCCCTCCACCACCAGCACCTCGCGTTGAGTCGACACAAACTTCCTCCACGTGCGGGGGAGTCTGTCCAGGGCTCTCCCCAAGAGTGTGTCCTCTCTCTCTCTCCCTCTGTGCGTGTCTCTTACTGGGTGTCTCTCCTGCGTCTCTCGCTCCCGAGGTCTCACCCTGGATGTCTCACCCTGGATGTCTCCTCTCTCCCTGTGTGGTCTCCCCAGGGGCCAGCTCTCCGGTTGTTTCTCTTGAAGAAGTCTCTTCCCAAGGGTGTCCCCGGTGGGGAGGGGGGGGGGAGATTCCCGAAAGTGCTTTGAGAGCACTATACCCTTTCTCGCCGGGTGTCTCTCTCCCTTGGAAGGTGTATCTTGAGAATGACCTCTCCCTTGGAAGGTGTATCTTGAGAATGACCTCTCCCTTGAGTCGAAGCCTTTCTCCCAAAGTGTCTCCTTCTCACGGAAGTTGCAGCCGCTCCTCTCGTTGTCTTGACAATCTGTATCCCGGGCTGTCTCTATGGTGAATCCTGACAGTCCCGGTTCTCTCTCTTGATGCTCAACTCTTGATAGCAACTCTCCTGGGCGTCCCTTGACACACCCGGTTGTCTTTTGGCAGTCACTCTCGCGGGTGTCCCTCTTAACTGCCTTCCTCCACGCGTCTCTTCTCCCGGGGGGGGGGGTCTCGCTCCGGCTCCTGTGGCTGTCTCGCTGCCCTCGGGGAGAAATCTGCCCAGTGGGCTACTATCCCCGGGGGTGGACACCACAACTGCTGCCCCTTGCTGCTGCCCGAGCCGGCGCGAGGGTCAGCACGTGCATAGCTCCTCCTCGCGTCCGGTTGTCCCCACGTGGATCACACGCGCACACGTGGCCACGTGCAGTTCCAAGTAGCCGCGTGCGCGCGCGCGCGCACAACACACAGCAACGCACGCGGCACGCACGCGCACGCGCTCGCTCGCACGCGCGCACGCTCGAAGACACCACGCACGCCGCCGGCTCGCCGAGCGCGCGCTCGCGCGCCACCCCGCCGTGCTCCCCTTATAAAGCGAGCGCGCGCACGCCCGCTTAGCCAGCCCCGCCCCGTCCCCTCCGCGCCCTTGTCTCCGCCCACACACTCCGAGCCCAGCCCCAGACCACACCGGGCCCTCGTCAATCAGCCCCCTGCCCCACGCATCTTTGTCGCCGCCTCCTCCGTTCTGACCCCGCCCCCGTGTTCTTGTCTCCGCCCACCCCCCACTGGCCCCGCCCACAATAGTTTCTCACGCCGGTCCAGGAGCGATTACGACGCCTGGTTTCCAATGTGAAACAAATCGAGTTGTCATTGCCAAACTTTCCCGTGTAAATGTATATTTGGCGATGCTGCGTTTCCAGAGATGCACACGCACAATTGACAGAAAACCCAACGCATTCGTCCATAATTATGTGGCCTTTAACATGATACATAGAGTACGTATGTGTATATAAGATGCCGTTTCAAACATCAATGTGGACTACTAGGAGTGAGTGATTTCAGCAGCAGTGGCTTAATATTAACAAACTCTGGATCGTTTTTGAACGTTCAGCGTCTGATTAGTGGAAACAGGCATGCTTAAACCAATGGTAATGCACTGCCAGATATTTATGGGAAAATACCCTCCATAGGAAAGACGTGTCATTATTCGTGTTATATGCAGCAGTACGTTTGACCAAGGTTGCCACAATATTGTTTTTCAAGATAGGAATACATCGCTGATTTCCACGATATGCCGTCTATCCTGATGCCAACTTTGTAATTATATGTAACAATTATAATACTGTAATGCAATTTGTAGCGCGCGCAATATTTCACGAACATAAATGACCGTGTGTGACTTCGAGGTGTGGAGGAGCCAAGTTCAATGTCGCTTGAAAGCCAAGAGACTGAGGTGGCCTTCAAGAGAGAGGTGGGGACCTTTCAGTGACCCTTAAAAGTCGCTGTAGATTATTAAACGCTTCTGCGAATGTGCAGCAGCAGCGGCGGGATGGCGTTCCAGATGGCGGGGGGTGCTACGGAGAAACGACGCCTGGCAGTGACCATGGTCCTGGTCCTTGTTGTAGAGAGGAGGAGGAGGAGGTGGGAAGTCGTGCTTCCTGCTGCTGCTGTTCTGCAGAGAGTTCCACGGTGAGCTGTAGTGCAGGGTGACAGGAGCGAATAAGGAAGATCCGTCGGACAACTGAAGCCAGAGGGCGCGGTGGTGGCACAGGGATGCATTTAATTTGTTTAGATTTTTAGATTATTTGTTCGCTTTAAAATGTCCACATGATAAGCCACATCATTTGTGGCCAGGTCGCTTCTGAAAATAAAAATAATAGCTCAGTGGGCTTAACCTGGTAAAATAAAAGTAAATCTTGACTTAAAGCTTTCATGATTGCAGGAATTCATACTGTTTGGGTCTTTCGGTCAAGTCATTTTTTCTATCTACGTGGACTTTACCGAAAGACCCAAAGAGTATACAAAATAAAAGTAGTTTAGTTTGATTTGGAAAAATAAATATTTGCTTACCTTTCCTATACAGTACTTTGCACTCACCTCGTGTTGTTGTATTGTTTGGTTTTTGTGACGTTCTAACCCACCCCTACTGGACATCGCTCATCGGATTCCTCCAGTATAAATAAGTATTGTGATTTTGATTTGATTCTGGCCGGAGGTATTGTAGCTGCTGACCCTGCTGGTGATGATGGGAGACAGGCGAGGTTAATCTAGCCGAGGATGACACGGGCGATATGGTTTTATAACCGTTGGAGTTTATTTTACAATGTTAATGTACTTTCAGTACAAATATTGTATTTTACTGAAATATAAAAAAAAAATGTTGTACTGAAAGGGGTGAGATGTCTTCTAACCATTGAACATTTACAATCTATAAGGATTATAACGCGCATACTGTCACGCAAAAATTCAATGCTGTAACTAATTCAACTACGAAAATTATGAAGTCAAATAATCGCCATGCCGCCAATCACTGAGAAATATCTAACAAAGCACTAATTTAATGGGTAATGGTTCTTTATTTGTAACTTTAATCATTGCGCTTTTGATATTTTCTAAATAGTTTGCTAGGAAATTATATATGTTGAAAAAAAATAACCACCAAATCGGGTTACCCATCGTCGTAGTAAACGTGTATATATCTCACAGCTGTGGTCGAGGTCGTGCCTTAGCATGTTGTGTGCGTGAGTACAAGTTGCAACTTTGTTAAGCAAAGTGAGAACTCAAGAGACAATAATAGTCGCATTTGCAACAATGGCCTTACAACGAAACAGAAAACAATACAATATTAAATTTTAAAATATATTCAGTGAGGAAAGTTGGCTCACACTTGTAAAAAAAAAGACCATGAGTAGTAAAATTAAGCTCCAGAAACATAAAAGGATACAGAATACAGTACGTCAAAATAAAACTGCAAGTGAAGTTAGACAGAATCGAGTGGCGTGTGTCTTATTATAGCGGTCTCTAGTGGCTGAAGGGATAACGCAAACGAATGCAACGTGAATCTAAAAACGCCGCGTTGCTTACACGTGGCGTTCGATGAACGTCCATACACTGCATGACTCACCCCGAGTCTGGAGAGGCGCGAGCTGTTCATCCCTACGGGATAGATAAAATTAGTACCACTTAGTGGAAAGCCATCTGTTGATGGACTTGCCCCTCAGAGCTGTAAACATGCGATCTTGTTGTGTATAGTTTAAAAGAGGAGGATGATTTGAGTACACAATCTAAGCGCGAGTGGCCCGGAACAAATCAGTTTTCAGAGCAACATGGTGCGTAAGCTTTAATCACAAAGAGAGTGAAATCAAACCTTGATCAACATAATTGTCAGCGAGATACAATAAACCACCACCTGATGTCGCAATTGGCAAACCAATAAAACTCAACTACGATCTCTGGATATATTTCATCGTGCTATAGTAATGTGGAATGTTACCCACTGGTTCAGGACCGCCAGCGGAGATGAGGACTGCCCAGCTTTTAGTTTAAGCCAATGAGATGTATGGTCCATACAGTATACATATTTATAAACGCGCATTTATTATAATGTAAATATTAATTCAAAACGTGATGTGAAGAAAGGCCATTTCCCAAAATGTCGTTTGTTAAAAATAATCATTTTAAGGCAGCGTTATTGACGCATCCGTTATGAGTTTTTTTTTTATAAATCACGTCGTTGTGGAGAATATAAATAACATAGATCAACATACAATACAAAATCCTTTCTTTTACACAACCCAACGGCCTCACGCCATCTGGGGGTGCGTAATTGTACCAGTATTGATTCAGTTACAAACTCTGGACCAACTTCCATATGAACATTGCGGGTGTGCAGTGTTCATATGGAAGTTGCTCAGCTGGCACAGCAGCAGGCTTTCGAGTTGTGACATTAGTTTCATAAGTGAGGTTATAGCCTCGCCTCTCTGTATATCCTGTGGGGGGGGGGACTGCTTCACGCCATTGGAAAGTGGAATTTTAACTTCACAGCATGGGTCCACGTGGATGACCAGGGTCTCATGCTCCTTTGAGCGAAGGGGGCACTCTGACCCGAGTCAAGTGTCGGTGTTGTCTATGTGGCGATTATGTACCGCGCGTTCACTACGCTGTACAACATGTCATACTGTATTTCAAATAAAAATGTGCTCATATAATAAATGCGTCGCGTTAGGGTATTCATTGTGTAGACGCGACTGGGTACCTCGCTCAAACAGGCGAGCTGCTCGTTTACGAAAACACTCCCCTCTATGAGAATAGGGTTTCCCCTTTTTTCTGGCAACAAAACAGGTGTTAAGATGTTAAACACACCAAACTGAAACCTTTTACAAGGAATCATGTCTGTATTAACCACAATACTTGTGGTCAGAATGCAAACAAAAAATATATTCTGATAATATATGCATTAAATTTTGACTTAAAGCTTTCGTGACTGCAGGAATTAATATTCTTTGGGTCTTTCGGTAAAGCCACGCAGATAGAAAAAAATAAAGACCCAAAGAATATATGCAGTCTTTGAAACTGATTGGTCCACACAAGAGACAGCTTTCTTTCGAGTCTCTGGTCTAAGGCGTCTTCTGGTCTAACACCGTTTGAGACTAGCCTCAAAACAAAGCTGTCTCTGGTGTGGACCAATCAGTTTCAAAGACAATGCATATATTATCAGAGTATTTTTTTGTTTTTCATTCTGACCACAAGTATTGTGGTTAATGCAGACAAGATTCCTTGTAAAAGGTTTCAGTTTGGTGTTTTAACATCTTAACACCTGTTTTGTTCCCAGAATAAAGGGGAAAACCTATTCTCATGTTTTGTTACTGGCAAAGGAGGTCCCATGGTGTAGCCACTCCCCTCTAGTGGACGATCTGTAACACTGCAGATATCGTCTTGGAAACATTTTCACGTGGCGCAGAATATAACTTGCTTAATCCGCCATCTCATCCTGCCATTTGCGCTCCTAATTTCAGCCAAGCTACGTATTCAATATGCAGCTCAACATGCAACACATTTGCAATAAAAAAAACAATCCAAAAGTGGTGACTGGCTTCTCTAGCAGGGCAATTAAATTGTGAATTATCATACGATTAATGGAACAAGGCAGAGCAAAAACATGCATATGCATGGGTTATAAAGCACATATCATACGTCTGTCTTCAAAAGTACATAAATACATTTTCATCTTCTTTGGTTCTTTCGGTAAAGTCACCACGTAGAATGAGAATAAAATAATAAATTGATCAAATAAAATAACACAATAAAATTCTCACGACGTTTCGGCCACAACACAAGTGGCCTTCTTCGGGTGAAAGGAACAGACCTGTCGGGACGACAGCGCTTCAATGAACGCTGTTATTTTATTCTCATTCTACGTGACTTTACCGAAAGAACCAAAGAAGAAGTACATAAATACTGACAATAATGTTTCAGGTGGAGCAGTTAGCAGTGTTTGGGCGCTAATAACCTGGCTACCCGAATTCAATTCCTGGC